CTGCCAGGGGAAGGGGTCGAGTCCCCAGCCCTGGGGGGATTTAACAGCCGGGCAGCCGAGGTGCTGAGGGCCAGGGTTTGGGGGTGGGATGGCAGGGGTAGGGGAGCGGTTGGGCTGGGGGATGTTGAAGGGCTTTTCCAACCCCAATGATTCTGTGATTCTGTGGTTGCACACTGGGTCTGCCCTAATCCCCCATCCGAAGATGTTTAGTGAGGACTTTGCTACTTGCTGATAGGAATTCTGTTAACCCCAAAATCTCATGATCATCTTTTATAGGGCTCCGTTAACCTTTTAGGATTTTTCCTCCCTTTTTTTGGTACTATATCTAGCATAAAACATCCTCAGTCTGCAACTGGGGCATTTTGATAGGGCTGGGTTGACACGAAACAATGAAAATGAGCGTTTAGAAAAGCAGTTTTCATCCTGATATGCAATAAGTGTAACCTTCTGAGATGTTATTTTAACTTATTTTTGTCCAAAGATCGAACTTTAAAGCTTTCACCCAGGGCAAAGTACGATATAAGCATCCTACAGTGGGGGGGGGAAGAAAAAAAAATATTTCTCTGAAACATTGTAAGTTCTTTGGGAAAAAAGTCTACAGTTTGCTTGAGCTTTTTTCTATTGCCACAATATAATTAGAAGGAACATGAAAACAGCATGTGGTTTTATTTCCATTGCAACCCTCCTCACCAGCCTTCTTCGCCCATGCATGCCTTTAAAATATTCAGTACTGAGAAAAAACACGGAGCGCGCAAATATGGCAGTGTTTGACATTTATTGATATCTAAAATATTTATAGAACGTATATTTACAGTGCTCGACATTTTATATATACATGCCTGCATCTTGCCAGTCTAAACGCGTTACATCTGCCTGCTTTAGGGCGTTACGGTGTCCTTCTTTGCGGTGTCTTACCTGTGTTTAATACTGCATAATTTCCACCAAAGTAATTATGCAAATGACTCACTTTAATGGTGTCCTTAGGAAAAACACAGGGCGCGCCTACCCCGCTGTAGGAAAAGGTGTTGGCGAGTGCGTGGTAATTGTTAAATACATCCATTTTGCATTAAATTCAACACCCCAATCTGCATATGCTGAATATAAACCATAAAAAAAAAAGAAAGCGTCGAGCTTTCCAGCAGTCTGGGAAAATCATAGGATCGTTTAGGTTGGAAAAGACCTTTAAGATCATCAAGTCCAACCGTTTTGCCAGCAACTCAAAAAAAGGGGGAGAAATGGGGGGGTGAGGGGGGAGGAGCAACAGTTCTGGTGGAGGGAATGAAAAAGCCGCAGGCAAAGCGGGGTCGGGGTCCTGGAGCGTGCGCGTTGTAAAGAATAACTGACAGGGATCTGTGAATTACAAGTCTATAAATTAATTGCAGGCTTCTGGTGACATGGCAATAAACCATGCTAATGAAGATTGAGTAGTTTAGGATTTTGTCAGAGCTCTGAAAAATTATATGGTTTGTAAACTACATAGATACTGGTGGGGTTTATGTGAATTTGTTGAATAAATTATACTAGGACTCTGGTGTGAAAAAAACCCCACAACCCTGTTAAAATTAACATATGAATGTGATTGCATCTTAATTTTTTTTCTTCAGCTTTTTCTTACCCAAGTGGCTTGTTTCTTTTTCCTTGAGCCTTCCTATTCAATGGCGAGTCTTCGTAACTCGGCCACTAAATCGTCTTTTTTTGTATATCTTTAGCGTAAGCGATGCTATATTTTAAAAAACCCCCTCTTGATCAGCATCCTAGTTACCAGTGTTCCCTTGTGAGCAATGTTTTATGTGAAAAATCCTTTACAAAATTTCCTACGTCGTGGTCTAGAGACCCTGGTTTGATGTCTTTATGGCCTCAGAGCAAGAGGAGCCCAGCCCGGAGCGTTTCTGATCCGTCGGAGCCTTTTCGATAGGAAATTAGGCAGCCGAGTTAATCAGGCCACCTCATCAGTTTTAATTTGCATGCATTGGGTGTGATCTGAACTGTACGGGGACTTCTAAGTATCCTAAATTATTAAATATATGGTCAACAAGGACCAATCTGAAAGAGGAATCGAGAAGATGGGGCGTGGGAGCAGATGCTTATTTAAGCATAGGTGACCTAGCTCGAAAAGCTAAAATCAAGAAAACGCTGCTATAAAAAACTTTGCAAAGTCTTACTTTGATCTGCTCGGTTTTATGCACTATACCTGGTTTTTAAATAAAATAATGTCATTTTCTCAAAAGTATTTTGACCTCATTGTGCACACAACTTTGGAGAGCACTTGGGATTAATTGGGAGCCTGTGATTGAAGAGGTGATGATGTCTAGGGCTCTGCCTTCACTTATTACCAGAGCTGGAAACTCCATAGTCAATAAGGCAAAAAAAAAAGGTTTTGTAGTTAAGATGATGAAATGCAACCCCTGAAGAACAGTTTTATCTGTACATCTGCCGTAGTATTCCTGCCAGACCTGGGTTTGGTCGCTTACACCACGCGTTCATATGTTGCAACCGTTTTCCTCATTTTCTGCATCCCCAATGAGACTTTTTGGTCCAATGTGGAAAAAAAAAGCCACCATAGTGTATTGAGTAGTGTGTAACAGACGGCTCAAAGTCATTCCTAACGGGACAAGACAAGCGAGGGCGTACTTTTGCCCTTTCACTGGTAGCTTGGCCAGTAGCACCTCTTAGTGTCCAACTCCGACGAGTTCAGAAACATTTGTGGGTTGGGCAGGTATTGTAGAAATAGGAACCAGAGGAACAAAAAAACCCAACCCACTGGGAAATTAATGATTTTATTTGCAGAGAAAAGCTTGAAAACTCGGAAGCATGAAGCCACGTACTTAAGTAGGAAGCTTTGAAATTAAATCCTGAATTGCTCTTTCGGCGAGCGGGGTCCTCCTGGAGTGCCGAGGGAGGCTGCGGAGAAACAGAATTTGATGGTGTAAATCCCCGCAAACCTGGGGCCGGAGTTAGGCAAGCGAGGGCAGCCTTGATCCAACCATTTCTTAGTTTCTGTGCAGTTTATTTTAAAATTTTCACCTTCTTTTAATGTAGAGGGAGTTTTGATATTATGGCTTCATAAATACGACAGCCAGCCATTGGGAATGATGGCTCAAGAAATACAATTGGATTTTCTGTCTGAAATGATAAGTCATGGACGGTACTTAGAAATTAATCTATCCTGGCTGCCTGGCATTTCTGGATATTCAAAACAGAGACCATCCTTCCCCTACAAAACCCGACAAAAATGTACGTGGGCTGCTGAGTTCTTGTGTGTTTTTCAGTACCGGGGCGGGGGGGCTCTCATTAGAAATATGATGTTATTAACAGTTTTCCTCAAATTGCTAATTTCCATCGTCCTAGTATTACAATAATGATGAAATTAAATTAAATTAGCATATCATATAACATACTGAAAAACTGTGAATACATTATAGTAATACAAGGCAACAGATAATTGCTAGCTTAATAAGAATTCATTTGCAGCGCAGATAATTCAACCTTTTTCTTCTTCCAATCACTAGGGACAGATTTCCTGGTTATTGATTATCTCCTCATCTTCTCTAACCCCACTCAGAAGTCCTTGGTTATATGAAAATGTCTCCAAATACATCTAATGCTGTGTCATTTGGCGGTGGGCTTGTCTTGTACCTCCTTGTGCCTGTCCATGTGTTGACTCCTAGGACCTTGTTACGTATGCAGTTGGCATCTGATCCTTTGGAATGAGTGAGACTTTATTACCCCTCTACTCCCTTAGTGAAAATTCTACGTATATATTTTGGTGTACGTAAGTCTCACGTGTCTTCTAAATTGAGGTTGTAATTCTTTCTTTTGGGAAACCCAAAAATGTTAACATCGACTTTTTAAGTGTATTTTCTAGTGTAAATGCTTTCCCTAGTATTTCATTTTTAATAGGCTCAGGGTTAAAGAGAATAATTTGAATTACAGATACATTTTCTAGTTATGTCTAATATTCTTCAGGCTTATTGAAATGATTTGCTTGCTAAGCCTGAATTTATATCCACTTATTGCCACTTTCATTTTTTTCCCCATCTTTTTTTTCAGTTCCACCATGGTTTTTAATTCGCCCTTCAAATCTTTATGCCTATGAGAGTATGGATATTGAGTTTGAATGTGCCGTGTCTGGTAAGCCTGTTCCTACGGTGGAGTGGATCAAGAATGGAGAAGTGGTCATTCCCAGCGACTATTTTCAGATAGTGGTAATTATCTGGCTTTTACTTATTAGAATTTGGTTGGTTTTATTTACGAACTGAACCTGGTCTTTGCATGGAGAAGTGTCAGGTCATACTCTGAGCTGCTATTAATAATATTGTTTACCACGTGTTAACGACTTCTCTTACTGTTGTCCTTGGTGAGCCAAAATAATAGATCTCTTCTCCAAGGAAATTGTACCCCGACATGGGGGGTTAAAAACGGTAAGGGTCATTTGGCATAATTACAGCTTTGCTAAGAAAACTGTTGTGCACCCTACCCAAAGTAACATCCCCATCCAGTGCTCCAACTTCTTCTAATTTAAGTGTCACTATTATACGGGGTAAGAATTCACGCTGTCTTTTCTGAAAGGGTTGATTTAGCTGCCCTCTCCTGAAGGCAGCGTCACTTGTAAGTGAGCTGAGATGTTGGGGAACACCCCTGAAAACTTCAGCCGCTGTGAAGATCTCCATGGGCCACGAGGTGTGGCTTGGTTCAGCACCTTCTAATTTTTCACCTTGTAACAAATGATATTGATTATCGTCACGGCTTTTCACTACCTGTCAAAAAACCTCATCCTTTCTAACATGGTTTTTGTGCAGGATAGACTTGTTCTGCCATGTACGAAAGCAAATTCCATTTTTTTTTTTTAATAAATCATGCCTTATTAGAAGGCAAAGAGAAGCTTTCCAAGGAGAGGACAGCTCTATCGCTGTCGTGGTTGTGTGCGGAGGTGTTAAAAATTTTTTTCACTTAATAGTTGACGGAAAGTGCATTTCAGCCAGAGCCTACCCCTCACTTGAGATTTTTTTTTACCCAACGCAATTGGTTTCTGCTTGTGCTAACAGAAAAGTTAAATCTGTTTCAAATGAAGGAGGCGCAGGGTGACCTTTTCTTGAGGATCTCCAGGCCTCGAGCCATAAGGAGGGTTTGACCTTCAGAGCAGTATTTGTTCAAAGATGCAGAAGTTGAAAGTTCTTTTAAATTTTCCCTGCAGCCAAAGGGCCGAGACAAAGTTCAGAGCACTGAATTGATGGTGGAAATTTTGGAGCTTGAGTCTTGAGAAGGGTGTTGGGTGGACTCTGTGCAGGAAAGTGAATTCACCCTTGGGCCCTAAGCACCATCCAACAAAATGCAAAGACAACAAGGTGTCAAGAGATTCCTGATGAAAGGGCTTATGGTTACAGCCCTCAGGGCTGCGCGAGCTGGAGCTGGGATTACATACGCAGCGCCGCGTTTCACGGAATAGCTGTTCTGGAAAGGTTTTGTAATCCGCGTTCACTTTGGATGGTGTTTTTCTAATTAATTCTCTCCACTTCCTTTCTTTCTCTTTTGCTGTCTCTCTAGGGTGGCAGCAACTTACGGATTCTGGGCTTGGTAAAGTCAGATGAAGGTTTTTATCAGTGTGTAGCTGAAAATGAAGCTGGAAACGCACAGGCCAGTGCACAGCTAATCATCCCAGAGCCTGGTAAGATGCAAAGGACGTACAGACTTGTAGATGTAATTAATGCTATTAACATAAAAATCCCAAATGAGCAGCTACTATTCTTTACTCCCTCTTACTTATCCAGCTGGCTGGCTGTAGTTAAAAGCATGTCCAGGCTATCAGATAGCTTGAGGCATTTTGTTCACTGGGGCAATTACAAATGCTGGCCTTGTCCTAGAAATGACTCTGGAGGCCAACTAAACCTGCGTGAAAAGCCAACGGCAATGTGAGGCGATGGAATAAAGCAGCCCATAAGCAACAGAGAATTCCATCATACATAGCTCTGTATTAAGCTGTTGTAGAACATATGTCTTGGGGAAAGGGGAGAGAAGAAAAAGAGAGGAGGAAAAAGAACGGTTTGGCAGTGGGCTGTCAAGTGCAGCCAACCGTTGAGATCAGAAGGTTTTTGTCTATGTGCTGGAAGGATGAATTTTTTTTTGTGGTTGTTATTGCTCTGAAATTAATAGGTGTTTGGTTTTATGGACTGCCCTGTGCAGCAGCCTAAATGTTTACTGCTTTATGGGTTTTTAAGTAACAGAAAGATGTCTTCATCTCAAGCTAGATGATATGTAAAACACGGATAAAAGCCTTTCAAAGTTTCTGGCTTGTAAATGATTAACGACCTGCGCTGGGCTGCAGGTTCCTCTTGCTACTTCTCATGGTTTACGTCACTAAACTGAGAGCAAGAGAACGTGCTGAAGCGTTGCTCGTTCTCTGATTTGGACTGGGAAAAGCAGAACCTTGGTAGCCCACAAGTACCCAATCGAGACAGCCCTACTGAGATCAATTAACCAGCCTGACCGCTCATACCATAGAATTCCTTTGGGAAACCCTTTGAAAAGTTTCCACGCAGCATCAGTGTGAAGTTTTATTAAAGCTTTGCCAAAAATTTGGCCTTCTGGAAATAGAGAAGTAAGTATGGCCATGGTCTACGTTCTCGTTAGCTGCAATAGTCTGACTCCTAGGGACTCCTGTCTGAACACTGAGGAGGGATGTTCGCCGAGATCCATCAAAGCTCAGTCCTTTAAGCTGTTGTGTTATGAGCACTGTTTTCCAGAGAAGTTCCAGGCAGGATGGAGGGAGGTGGCAGAACCACATGGCCATAGCTGAGATCATCTGGTAGACAAAAGCAAGGAGTAAGCAGGGCTGGAAGCCTCAGATCCCCAGTTTGCAAAGTCCCCTCCATGCAAATACTTGTGGCAAATGAAAATGGGAACAGGGCTAAGGTTTCTCCCTCTTGTTTTCTGTCATGGTCCCAAATGAACGGCTGAGCATGGGTTTTGCACATCTTTGAAGCTCACCTCCCTCTTAGTCCTTCTCCCTTGTGATTCAGCATCTCTCTTACAAGCCTCCGCGCTTTGTTTTTCCTCCGCTGCCTGACAGCAACTCCAGCAGCAACTGGGGAATTTTCAGAGACCTCTCAGCTCCTCTCCCCCCGTTACCTTAGATGCTGGTGCCGCAGACGCTTTGCAGCCATGAAATTTGGCGCCTCAGTGGGAGATCCGGGAGGGGGGTAAATGGAGAAGAAATGTAACATCCGTAGAGTCATCATTATTGTCCTCCTCCTGCTAGCGTGACCCTCCAGCCTTGGGTCCCTCCTCACCCTGCTCTGCAGGGCTAATTGGCTAACCGAGGTTGGCGGTGGGGTGTTGGGATCAAGAGGCAGATATTTATTTGGGTTTCCACATCGGTACATGCCCTCCACCACCTGGTGCAGTGGAGGATCTTGCCAGACGAGCATTTCCCTCCGCGCAGTCACCGGAGGTGATGATGAGGTTATTTTCCCGTAGGGACGAAGGTGAAAATGAGAAGGCGCTGACAAACTAGATTTCACCGGCAGAAAAAAAGGTCCTTACGTGATACTGAGGAAGGCTGGCTGGGGGTCACCAGAAACAACCTGCTCCGCTTCAGATCTCCCGGTGGGGAGATGCACACTTGTTTTGCCTCTATTTTTTGGTTTTTTCTTTTCTTTTCGTTTCCTTTTAAACTCAACCTCCCGTTCTGTTCGTGCGCCTGCGTTGTATTTACACGCATGAAGATCCGAAGGACACGGGCCCTCTCCTGTAGCGGGGTTTAATCTGGTGCTAGGATCATCCTAGGGGAAACTGGATAACTCGTTGCTGCTCCCAGCCAGTCATTGCAAGTGAAGTGCTGTCAGTAAATTTTACGCTCTGTGTTGGTGTTTATTATGCTTGGCACTGGATTAAAATTAAAATAGAAGGAAATGAAAAGAAAATCCTAAAGAGCTACGGGACGCCATTGTAAAGTGTTTCCATTTCCCTTTTTAAGTGATGGATTACTTTTTTCTGGCTATTTAATCAGATCCTCAAACAATGCCACTCCAATTCCTCCGAGATGAAGGGAGGGCCAGCGTGCACAGATGGTGCAGAAGCCAGCTATAAATACAAATGAAGTGGTGGGGCTGGCCGTGGTGGGAGGAACGTAGCCCCCTCGGCTTTGATTTTGTTGGGCCATGCTCAGCACGTGTTTGTGCTGAGCCTAAGCTCCGGATGGCACCACCGAGTAGCTGGGGTCTGGCAGGGGGCGTCTGGCAGGGGCTGTGCCCTGCCTGGAGCGGGCGATGTCCCAGCAGAGTGAGCCCACGCTTGTTGGCATGTTTTTGTGAGAGCCCCTGGATGAAGTTTCAGTATATTCATTAATAAGCATATGAGGATGGGCTGGGAGCTGGGTTTGTTCAGCCTGGAGCAAAGGAGGCTCAGAGGGGATCTCATCACCATGTACCAGAACCTAAGGGGTGGCTACAAGGAAGATGGAGACTCCCTTTTCACAAGGAGTCCCATGCAGAGGACAAGGAGGGAATAGACACAAGTTGCTCTTGGGGAGATTCCGATTGGACATGAGAGGGAAATGTTTCACCGTGAGAACAGTCACCCATTGGAATAATCTCCCCAGGGGAGGGGTTGACTCCACCACATTGGACACTTTCCAGCCTCAGCTGGACAGGGTGCTGGGCCATCTTGTCTAGGCTGTGCTCTTGCCTAGAAAGGTTGGACCAGATGAGCCTTGAGGTCCCTTCCAAGCTGGGGTTCTCTGAGTCTGTAATCCCTTTCTGGAGCCATTAATGTGGAAGGAGCATAAACAGAGAGACGTTGAAGGCTTAGCTAAGCTTTCTTTTTCTGAAAGCCAGGGTCAAATAAAGTTTTTATGAAGTTAATACTAGTTTTACCCTAATGGTGATTTCTACCCCAAACTGAGATCAGGGTAAAATGGTCACACTTTTTTTGGTGATTCATAAGACTACAGATAGTTTTTACTTTTATTTATTTTAAATAATTTGGACCATCCAGTGGGCTAAATATTTCTGTATGTTCTGTTGGGGCATTTTGGAAGTTTTACTCCAGTAGAAGGGTATAATCGGTCTGATTGCTCCTCCTACCGTTGTTACGCGGACGCGTAGATTCACACCCGCTGCTGACCACCGTTAACCGCAGGACCTGAAGTAGCAGCGCGTAAGTTGGCATTAAAGCAAGTATAAATGAGCTCAGATTGAGACCAAATATACCCCTTGTAAAGGCTGTGATGCTAAATTGGAAGTAGATAACGCTGAAATGAGAAGTGAAAGCCAAGCGGGCGGTGAGCTCACGCAGATAATAGCTTCCACTTTTAGTATTCCAGATGTGGCTGTAGGATGCTCAAAACTATTTCGGTATGTGTTGCTTAGACTAGAAAAAGCCAACGAGCTCCCTGAGAAATATAAAATTTCTGTCCTTTGAAACGGGGATGATGACTGGAGAGGCTTTGTACTTAACAGCGTATTATGAATTAGAGTAAAATAAGTGATGGTAGATGGTCTGCGATTACGCGCATTAGTCAATAAATCAAAGTCCATTTGTGGATTCCAGCACAACTGGGAAAAAGACACTTGGGATTATTTCTTCTCCTCTTTCCTTTCTTACCCTTTAACAACCTTAATGTTACCCTCTTAGGAAGAGATTGCTCACCAGTTTATGACAAGGAAAAAAAAGAAGCAACTTTAAATGCTGCTTATTTCTGTAAAAGCAAAGCGATACCCGAGCCAGATTTAAGGATTTCAGTTCTCCCATCTCCAACACACACATTCTGGGTTTCTCAGGCCCCTCTGCTGCTTGGCTTCCTCGATTCCTGCTCGGTGACGGGCTTTATACGGTCTATTTTAACGTGGGATCATATTGAGTAGGTACCAGGAATAAAGCTTCCACTATGTATTTCTGGTTACATGTACTGCAAAACAAATTCTCAGCAAGGAAAAGCAGATGAAAGAGATCTCAGCTGACTGCCTCATTTTTATAACTGTATAAAACCTGTTATTTGCACACCTAGAAAATGAATAGAGAACAGCATGGTGGTGAGTGATGGACATGCATAACTTCAGATGAGGAGAGTGTCTCGGAGGAAAATCTTCCCATAAAGAACTCCCAGACAGTTATTTGCTTTATGCCGGTGGCTTCTCACAGATCCACCCTGCAGATATTCACGAGATATGTGGAGGGATTGTTTTATTCTAGCAGGTGAAAGATCAGATAAAGACGGGCCTGGAATAATCAACGTGTGTATACAGTAAAGTAATTATTAGCTACGTTCCTGCAGTAAATTCCTTGCTAGAAATATGTTCAGCTCAGGAAGACATCCCCTCCCAGAGACTGGTAGAAGTGCTGTAAATCAGTCTTTGCAGCAAAGAAAACGTTCTCTTAGGCGGCATAACCAACCAGTACCTGGGCTGCTTGTGCTGCCACGCAAGGAAAGGGCTGCCCAGGGAAGGGGTCGAGTCCCCAGCCCTGGGGGGATTTAACAGCCGGGCAGCCGAGGTGCTGAGGGCCAGGGTTTGGGGGTGGGATGGCAGGGGTAGGGGAACGGTTGGGCTTGGGGATCTGAAAGGGCTTTGCCAACCTCAGTGATTCTGTGATTCTATTCTATGACGCAACGCCAGAATCATTTGATGAAGGGGTTGCATGTTGTCATGGTTTAACCCCGGCTGGCAACTC